ACGCCACTACACTCGGTTTCATTTACTGCTTCGTCTTGCCAGCAGGCAAACCATGTCTGTCTCTCTGTTTGGGTTCACACCAAGCTGGGTTCCTTAGTTATTTACAGGAATATATAAAAACAACAATATAGGCTGCTCTGATATAATTGTGTTATATATGAATTTTAGGGTGTAATGATCGACATTCCTTATGTAATTGCTTAGGTAGGCGGTATTCATACGAAGTATGGACAAAACAAAAACACACACACACAGAGCCATGCATTGCAGAGGTCTGTAATGTAAAACGAATGACCTAAGTAGGCTATTCTAACTAGGGAGTCTACTTTTGTCGCTGGTTAAATTGAATGGTTTCAGTGGGAAAACACACCAATATCATGGTGCAAAGTCTGGATTTACAGAGCCAAGGGACTCTCTGCCCGTGAAATATAAGCGTCTAAGGAGAAATTAAAACCAAACATGAAAAAAAAGAGCGAAGCGTAAATAAACTCTCTTGAGGCTTAACGAATAACTTAATCTTGAGATCAAGCACTAACTAAGTCTTTTCTGCACGGTGACTCCCAGACCGTCACGCTTCTGGAGCGGAAATCAAATAAAGACAATTACAGAAATAACACAGAATATAGTCACGGGAGGCCCCGGACTGCAGTAAGCCTTCCGATGGCTGAAATGCGCCCTACATAATAGCACTTATCTCCAAAAGATCTGCTGTGCCCCAACCATACTGATACGCTGTCTCTACGACTGAAAAAACAGCTGAATCCGGTTTGTTTGTTAGCTGGGAAGATCTCCCCTACATCAGTCTCTGTTTGTGGGGAATCTCGGCTTAATGTCGCCCGATGAAGGAGTCACTGGAAGCACGTGTGCAGTCCAGTAATTGCTGCGGACTAAGATGCTATTGAACCATTATTAGAAAACCAAATGCTGTTTTTTGCAGTTTGTTTGGATGAGCATAGTGAATTTGTACGGATTCGCATGGAAACTTATTCAAGGAGCAAGGACGCGAGTTATTTTGTTTGTTTGCTGGAGTATCTGTAAGCATTATCATCGTGATGTATAATTCATACTGTTTTGCATACGGATACACATTTCACAGTCTAGGCTTAATTATATACAACAATTGGAAGAATCGTTTTTGGCAAAAAAAAAAAATAGCAAAAACAAGCGAAAATGACTGAAACATGAAATAATGAATTATGCATAAAATTTTTAAAATGTGTTTTTGTAACACTTAGTTTTTGATGCATCCCAGATGCCTTCATCTTAAATATCCTATGGAACAGGAAAAAAATAATACCTTATGAGAAACGTACAGTCACAGCAGTGAAGTTATCATGAGGGTTCAAGATATAAAGGAAAAGCAGACGGGGCTTGAGGAAAGAACAAGAGGCCGCATATCCCCGCTCCTGAAGAGCAAACGGAGCGGAATCGGCGGGCTGAAATGAAGCGTTTGCGCCGGTCGCCTACCTGCCGGCGGCCTGACGCTAATTCGGCCTGGCAGCTGAGAGCAGCTTCGCACAACTTTCTCAGCCTTTCTAAGTAATTGGTGACCTAGGACCCCCATCTCACATGGGCGACCGCGGAGAGCTACTTCCAGCCCTGCAGAGGGGGTCAATCTGAATGCAGGATTGTTCTGAACTTTAAAGCATGTGACCTTGCCGGGAAGCCCCCCTCTCTCACACCTCCAGAGCCCGCCTCTCCGTGTATATTCGCACTTTGATCTCTCTGTGCCGTGCTCACTTTACCTTTCATATTCCACAGTCAGGTGTGACTCAGCAGAAAAATAACCGTGTCTTCTAAGGCGAGTAAGTGCAGGTAGACTCGTGATGACAAATATTTAGCCGTGATTTTTTTTTTTGACCGCATTTGTGAACAAATTTATTCCCATTTATACCTGGCTTTTGTTGTGAATCTGTAGTCGAGTGGATTTGTTGCATTTAATTCAGAAACAGAATACATTAGAGGTACTGGAATTAAATGCCACTGAAATTAAAGACGAATTCTTGAACTTATTCCTGACATTTTTATGACGTTATTTATGGATTAATTAAAACGGAGTAGCAGATGGAGTATAACCCAATGAAGCACAGCATACTGTGGCTCACGGCGAAGTCCTCTTCGGGAATCCTGGCCCCTCCCAGTGACGCCCCACTCTGCCCTAACAATCAATTAGTCTCCACTGACACAACAGAAATCCCGTCCGCCACACTCAGCTCACTGCGCTCCGGCGGCGCCATCTCTCAGCCTGGGACACGCTGTCTCCTAGCCCCCCCCCCAATTTTCTAATTATGCATTGTGAAATAGCCTAATTATACCTCGTCTCAAAATGCTGGAACTGGGGCATGACGCGTCATCGCACTACCACAGATGCCTCTTTCCATGTCGTGGAAAGACTTTCAGCCAGAGCTACGACGGGGGGCGGCGCCGAGGACGAGGCTGAGAGCAGCCGCCGCGGAGCTGAGCAGAGCCGCGGGATTTGTTGCAAATAACAGACACAATCCCTTTCATCGCACTCCTATTCAGGCTATTGGGATCCCCTCCCAGAAATGATATCAACATGAATTTAATTCATCACAGGACAAAATCCTACACACCCGCAGGGAATTGTGTTACATTCGCCGCGAAAAGCGTGCCTCGGATCCCGCCTTTTCCTAAAAATGCCATCATCAAATGTCACCAGCAGACATATACTCCGATTTGTATGGATATTATACGTTCCGCAAATCAACAGCATTTTTCTGATCTCAGTCGAAACATCGGTCGCATCCCTTTCCCCCGTATCCATTCCATGTATCAGCAGTCTTATATTTCTGATTTTACACCATCGAATGATACGATATTTACACAAAAACCAGACTCTCCCATTTTCTTCTGGTTTCTTCAATTCACAAAAAAAAGGGAAGGGATGAAAATCTTGGTGGCAATTATTTTGAAAATTGAAAACTGCATGAAACAGCCATGCGCGTGCAGTGTTGGCAGGGATCTACATGCGAGTTTAATTCATTACAACAACAAAATAATATTTTTTTTTTCACTTTGATCAGATTGGCTCTAAGTAAAACACGATGAAGAAATACAAAAAAATAACTGCATCTTTTAATACGTAAAAATATTGGTTGGATTTTGGATCTCTTTAAAAGTCTATGGATATTTTTAAAAACAAAAATAGATGCAATGCATTTACATAATATTACATATATGAAATTATAAACGATGCAAGTCAATTTAGTCATCGTGTAAAATTAATCAAAAGAAAGCGTGTCGTTTGCGTGGTAAACAGGGGGAAAGACGCATGCAAGCATTATTTTAACTAAATTCTGTTTAAAATATGAAATAAAAGAAAGCTGTTCGTTTTATGGGACTCTAAATATCCTGAAAATATCCAAAGATAATAAGTGACCATTATTATTGTATAATATTGTATCCCAGCAATAAATTACTACAGTCAAACACCTTTTGTTAACACGTAATAATGATTACATTATCTCTTTATTTCTCGGTAACCATCATGTACGTGCATGATCTGAGGGTGCAGTTATTCCATTATCTTCTGAATTTAAAAAACATACATATATACGGACATTAAAATGCAATATGTAGCCTATATATTATATATTTCCGGAATTCTGTGGTTCCCGTGCAAGCATATGCAACTTCATACGCGTATGGTTCTTACGTTTACAAAAGGCTGCTTTGTTTTCAGCATGGCGGCTCATTATCTTATGCCTGTGAATGACATTTAGAAATGCTTTTCACTAAGTTCATGTACTGGTCGGGATGTCAGGTGAAAGACGGAGGTGAATGGCAAAATAGAGTACGACGATTCTGTCGGCTTTCCCTTCACTGTTCGCAGTGAAATATCAATTATGTAAGCTATTAATAGTACGTGTTAATTAGCTGTGCCTTATCCAAGCGTACATGCAAATTATTTTCATTAACGTGGTTTCTGATGATTTTCCCGACAAAAGTGTCTGCTTCCCCACATCTTAAAATGATTCGAGGCTGCCATCTGTCGGTTTGCACAGTGAACTACAATCATTTTTTCATTTATACATTTATTATCACGGGTTTAGGAGTCTTAACAGGCACCCACTCTATTGCTGAATAATGTCAGTAACGTATTTCTTATATACTCCAATTAAAAATCAGCCACTCTGAAGAGACTCATTAGGAAGGCCAGCACAGTCACAGAACTGACACTGAATAGACTCATCGGGGAGGCCAGCACAGTCACTGGACTGACACTGAACAGACTCATCGGGGAGGCCAGCACAGTCACTGGACTGACACTGAACAGACTCATCGGGGAGGCCAGCACAGTCACTGGACTGACACTGAATAGACTCATCGGGGAGGCCAGCACAGTAACATAACTGACACTGAATAGACTCATCGGGGAGGCCAGCACAGTCACAGGACTNACTGACACTGAATAGACTCATCGGGGAGGCCAGCACAGTCACAGGACTGACACTGAATAGACTCATCGGGAAGGCCAGCACCGTCACAGGACTGACACTGAACAGACTCATGGGGAAGGCCAGCTCCGTTACAGGACTGACACTGAATAGACTCATCGGGGAGGCATAGCTTTACATCCAAATATTTATGGCCCTAAGTTGCATGCAAAGTAAATTATTTATGCACTTAGAGGAAAGCTACAAGTGTATGGTTTTACCGAATGATAAGATGTACTAACTTTTTCTGAAAATTCAACTGTTTTTTTCTTAACTCCAAAAAATGACACACGTGAAATGTTTGCTAAATATGTTCATAAAGACTCAGGTAGCATCCATTCAGACAAAGCACATAAAAGCAACGTCTATTTTAAATTTGTTTATTCGTTCAAAAGCACCACTTCCCAGAGTAACATTTCTTCTCGCGTGTTATGAATTATAACAACTTTTCAAATCTTCCGTCACTTCTTGTAAACTTAATGGACAGTCATTGATTTGAACACCACAGAACAACAAATACCCTACCCCCCAATCCCCCCCCCCCCCAAAAAAAAGAAATAAAAAATCTGACTGCACACGATTACTGTTAGTAGCCATCCCAATTGTTAAGGACACTTGCTTAGTGGTTTTCTTTGGTAAACGGAATTTAATGTCCTTACTGTTATTTTATTGGATGCTAAACAAAACGTTTGCTTTGTGACCTGAAATGCATTATGGGACTGGTGACATGTGGACTCTGGCATACACTATCACACCATGATCAGGAGCGAAGGTCCTTGTGACCTGATAAGGAGCAAATGGAGCTCGGTTCTGTGCTGAGAGGTACCCCTGAATTTCTCCGTAGGTCTAATAATTCTTGAGCAGCCAAGTGGGGGCAGCAACGCCAGAGTGAATGAAGTAGTTCCACCACCATGGCTTCTCCTGCCTCTCCTCGCCATTCTCCCCCAGCTCGCTCAAGGTGTAGCGCTCAAACTGGTTGTAGGGGTCAAAGCGGTCGTAGTTGTCCACCGAGGGGAAGCTGTAGATGTCCGCGGGGGCTGCCCGGGCGAGTTTCCTCAGCACGAAGTCCACGCGGCCAGCCTTCTGCATGCGCCGAGGAAGGTGGACCTTCTTCATCACCCTCGTGTAGCCCGGGGCGGAGGCGGTGAGGATGTGGATGCCTGGATTTAACAGCCTCCAGTAGTCCCCGTCTTCCGCTAACAGATACGGCATTAAGTTAGTGTCTTTTGCCATTGTTCTGTCCCTCATAGTGTAAAGGTTTTAGTATATATCTAACATTTAAACAGGCAGCTAAAATAATGCTCCAGAAATCAGTATAACCTTATTCTATATATAGACTAATCTGAAAATAGAGTTTCAAGGGATGCAACAATCTACAGCCTAGCGATTCCATTTCTGATAATACTAAAGCAGTGTTATTCTGTCAACTCTTAATGCATAGACAAAATCTACTTTGAGCAGGGATTAAGGGTTATATTAAGCATAATAAAGGAATTAAATGTTTGATGCAACATTACAATCAGCTTAAAGACAATACCATAATCGTTGGAAGGTCTTACACTTTTGAAAAGCAAAAAAATGACCATTTTCTTTCAAATGTATATACTGTACTACATTTTGCATGTTCCAAGTTTAGTAAAATTAATATTTTCTTAAGGATGTAAATATATTTAAGTAGCCTGAGTAGGCAGTTGTTTTTAAACAGTCCTGTTCATCAGTAGTGATGTTACAGTGCTGAGGAGTGTAACAGCATCTCTCAGCTATGACTGTTCATCAGACTGGTCCCTAGTGCAAACACCCATCAGCATATGGTCAGTTACTGCAAGTCTGGTCGACTAAACAAATCTGAAACTGTTAAAATCTGATCCTCCTAGTGGCAGAAAACATCCATAATCAACTTGAAAAAGCACTTACCTTTAAAAGGAAACTATCCATTTAAAAGGTTGCTTATACTTAAAACATTGCTACTGTGATAAAAGAACAAAATCACATTATTTTATACCCACCTGAGATCCAGGTGAATAATAATAATAATAATTTTGGTGTTTTTTCACATAGTTTTGGGAGGGTAAAATATGTCTTAAAGCTTTAAATCTTAAAGCTATAACTGTCCTTTTTATGGTCGCAGAGACAGTATGAGATATTTGATCAGACCCATAATGTCCTGTCTGTTGGGAATTGTTGGGTCTCAGCAGGATGTACTATGTATGGAGATAATATCTCGGATCACAGTGCTTAGAATGCACCGTTGTCCATTCAGGTTCAGCTGTTACCGGTTGTGATGTCGTGCCGTATTCCCTTGACTGATATCCGCGCGCCCTTGATTCCGTTTCCATTCACATCCTTTACTATCCCCTTTATGCCTCTGTGGACCTGGAAGACAGTAAAGTGGTTATGGCTGCAGTGGCTGGGAATCCGGTCGGGTAGCGAGCCGGAAGCGAACGGCGCGCTAAACGACGCACCGACTCGATGAAGCTCAGCAGCGACTCTTTGTTGCGCTTCCATTCGGGATAAAGCTCCTCTTCAGAAGGGAACTTGTCACAGCCGAGCTCCACCGTCACCTCGAAGCAGTTTGTGTGAAGGTAGTTGAAGTCGGACATTCCTATGGAGAAACGAGGACCGCGTGGCGGACGGTGTCATTCCCGACTCCTAGCTTTGCCTTGTCGCAGTCACTGCCTTCACTTATCTCCTCACATGACTAGTAATTTTTAACCTCTATCTTATTTAAACAGAGATAAGGATGGAAACTTTGATTATAAGCAGTGTTGGGCATTCCAGGTCCAGCAGCTACAAATCCATACCAAGATTTTGATTCTACCAACCAGCTGAGTACTCTGTCACTGTGACTCTTTATACTCGACTGGTTGGTAGAAACAAAATGGATTTGTAGCTCCTAGACCAGAAATTCCCAATACTGGTTATAAGAAGTAAAAAGAGAAATGTAGCAAAGCATTTTCATTTAGTAAATAATGAAAAAACATTGTGGTCAAAATTATTGGCACCCGAGAACCTGGCAAAGAAAAATATGTTTTATGAAAGACAATGGTGCCTCTCAGCCATCAGACAATGGTGCCTCTCAGCCATCAGACAATGGTGCCTCTCAGCCATCAGACAATGGTGCCTCTCAGCCATCAGATAATGCTGCCTCTCAGCCATCAGATAATGCTGCCTCTCAGCCATCAGATAATGCTGCCTCAGCCATCAGACAATGCTGACTCAGCCATCAGACAATGCTGCCTTAGCCATCAGACAATGCTGCCTCTCAGCCATCAGACAATGCTGCCTCAGCCATCAGACAATGCTGCCTCTCAGCCATCAGATAATGCTGCCTCTCAGCCATCAGACAAGGCTATGTTTCCACAGCCCTAGCATTTTTGCTATTAATAATACAACAATAATATTAATAATACAACTACATAAATACCTTATTTGGATGGTCTGCCTACAGAGTATTTGTAGCATTTCAACAACTTAGTTGAGATTCAACAATTCAGCTGTTTTGCTGTCTGTAGATACATAACAGATTACACCATATATAGAGCATATGCAACGATTCATGAACATACCGACATAGGATAATTTAATTGAATCTGACTACTCACTCAACTAATGCTGTATTAATTTATAAATACTCAGAATACCCTCCGTAGGCAGACAATCCAAATAGTGTTACCACTGCCTATAGTTAGGGTCACAGCTTATCTAATTGACGGTATGAAGCTTTATTGTTAAACTGACAGCTCACATGTGACCCCAGCAAAACCGACCTCCAGCAAAGCTGTACCACAGTGCTCCGTTAATGATGCCTCCTTTGCTGATGAAGGAGGCCCCGCATCGCTCCGTGTCTCTGTCCCCCATGGTCGGGTGGTTGTCCACGTAAGTCCTAGCCATCTGCCTGAATACCTGTAGGAGGCAGCACACATGTGCGTTTACGACTCCGCACATCCCTTCTTCGGGGTAGGAACATCACGTCAGAGCTCTCCTGCGACGGCGTGTCACCTGCTCATCCGCGGTGGGTGACAGCATCTTCTCTTCGTGAGGATGCTTGGACAAATCGAACGGATACGAGACAACCAGCTCCCCGCCGTGCAGGCTAGCCGACTGCACGAATGGGATGGACCGTATCCATTTCATCACTGCATACGTCTCCGGGGCAACCTGTACGACGGAAACAAACCTCGAATTTAACTCAATCCCATCTGCTACCTTAAGTTTGATGACACATGTGTCAAACTTGGGGTGTCAAGCAGAACACCCCAAACATCGCTACTCCGAAAGGAGACCAGGTTTTTAAAATCACTTATTTGCAAATCAACATGTGCATCCTCACACAACTACTGAATCGATCACTCAGTGCAATAAAGGCAAATGCATTTATTCCATAAATACAACTTTAAGTCCTATGCAGTGGCTCTTGCCTAACAGAGAAGGTTCTTTTCATGGTTGTGGTGAGAATCTGAGTAACAAAGACTTCTCTGCATTTGAATTACGACATTATGATGTCATGAGAACATCTAAACACAAGAATACAGCACAAATACTGATAAGTAATAAATACATGAAATACAAAATGTAGGTATAGTCAGTCATAAATAACGGAATAAATAACCCTGGTTGTTGTGTAAATGTGTTGTAAGTTTCCGCTGTTTGCTCAGGGGGCTGCACACCGCCCTGCTTGGCACTCGGTGGTGCATCAGGCAGGAGAATGGAAGGATGAGGCTGACATGAGGCAGCGTCGGGATACAGCCCCGGGCAAAGCCGACACAAAAGCGCCCCTTGTTCTCCTCTCCTTACCCTCAGCAGACATGATTCAGACGCAGGCCGGGCTCAGGTATCTGACTGAACATAAATTCCAGGCCGGGGTTAGCCATCAGCCTCCAGTTTTCAGATATCGGGGGTCCAATTACCGCCGGTTTGGGTTAATAACAAGACAAGTAAAAACCGCCGTGGTGGTGTGAACTTTGGCAGCGTCCCGAGGTCCCAGAATCCCTGGGGTCTCTGATGCCTCCTGCCGATAAATCTATCAGATGTCACTACCCAGAATGCATCTTTTGAAGTCCTCACGTTTTAAAGACCCCTTTACGTGAGTTGGCGGGTGATACTGGATGATAATTACTGGCTGAATCCCAAACTGGATCCTGGTGGAGGACTGAAAGGCCTCTTCTGCTCATGTTGGTGTTTTGCTGTGATTTCTGTTCTCTGTTTCCCATAACCACGTGTCCTGTACCAGGTTTCAGGCATAGGGCAGGACACCTTGGATAGGATGCCAATCCATTGAAGGGCACGCACGCGCACACACACGCTCATACACACACACACACACACACACACATCTGAATTCTTATCTTCGTGGGGACCATCCCTTCATTTCTATCGGAAAAACCCTAATCCCAACAATGATACCCTTAACCCCTACCCAGCCGTAACCGTAACCACAAGTAAGCAAACAAAATTGGCATTTGAGTTAAAAAGTCTTTTGAGGTAAAATCTGGTCCCCACAATATAATGTATATCTGGACCACACACAAACACACACAAACAGCTCCTATATTCCTAGCACTCATTTCTATGGGTATAACCCTAACTACGACAACCCTAACCCTTATTCAGCCCTAATCTTAACCATAAATAACAAAACAAAAAACAAGACACTTGGCATTTTTAGTGTTTTTGTTGCAGTCACAGACTTTTATGCAATTTCATTTCTCCTTGCGAGAACAGACACAATTTAACTCCACAAAAAAATCAAATTATAAAGAGATACAATTCATACCTTACCAAACCAGTAAGAGTCTGGGATCGGGATGTGGTCCGTGCGGTAATACTTGTTTCTACGGCGACCGTAGAGGATGGACGTCAGGTCGGGGAAGTTCCGGTTTAGGTCTATGCTCTGGGCATTCCCACGCCCACTGATCCATCCGTTATAGACCGGACCCTGCATGTCCCACAGTGGGGTGTTACCAAGGGGCGAGGGGGAGGGGTTGGGGGTGAGAGTCATTCAGGGGACAGGGAGAGCCTGAAATCCAGCACCTTGGAGGAGATGCCCAAGTATAGTAACTCACATGGTGGGCTGGGTTTAAAAATGCTCAAAGTCCCATGATGCCTTGCTTCCCACTCAAACCGCTAACACATAAACGACCCGCTAAACGGCAGATCGCAGCCTTCTGAAGCAGTGAGGGAGGGTGAAGAAAGGCATTCTGGGAAGGGTGTCATTCCTTACACGTTTTAAACTAGAGTGCCAGGGTTTGCTTTTCCGTTTGGTGTCACATTACGGTTCAGCGGTAACATCCGAAAGGATGCGGTGACTCGTGTCTCTCAAAAGCTAAATTTGTCTGAGCATAATGTGCAGCTTTGATGTTTTACCAAATTCAGATAACCATCAAACGTTTCAGTAATTCCTGGCTTCTCACGTGTGCCCTTGTTTTGAACTGATACAAAAAATTACTGGTACTGCACCATAATTATACATGTATTAATGCATTAATATGCCCTTTTAAACAAAAAAGACAATTGGATATATTATCCATCCATCCATCCATCCATCCATAAATCCTTCCTCCAACTGCTTATCCTGGTCAGGGTTGGCTGAGGTCAATCCACATCCACATAGCAGAATTTTCATTCCTAGTGTAAAACTGTCGACATATTACATCAGAAGAAAACTATTATTTATGTTGAGATAATTACAAATGTAGCACTTAAATTATTATTATTAGTCTCTAGTCGCTATTAGCATCTAATGATAGTATTCTACTATTAGTCTTCTACCATTAGTGTTTCATTGTTGTTATTAGTAATCTACTATTAGCATGTGGAATTTGAAAGAGCAAAGAGAAAAGACCCAGAAATTTCTCCGTTAGTTGAAATCTACTTGGGCCAACAGCCTTCCCACTTCCAGATGTTCTGAGGCACTTAACCTAGACTTCCATTTGTTCATTAATACAATGTATCTGGTTTACGATCACGGCAGTCTCTGATTGGTTATGGAAATCTGTGGCTGGTCATGTAAATCTTACCGTTAACATGTTTAATGACACCCAGACCAGGAAAGGTTAGGCTCGGCCTGAGGAGGTCACAGTCTGGTAGTGGGCGGCCTTGTCTCAGCACTGGTTAGACCCCCGAGATTGAATCATGGAAACTGATATTTACTTCCTGGTTCTCTGGCTCATTGCTATCCTCTACCTCTGCGGCCGCCAGCCCGTAGCCATCGGGGTTCATGGAGGCCAGGATGTGGATGCGGGTGGTGTTGATCAGCGTCTGGATCCGCTCGTTGCCCAGTTGGTACTCAGAGCACAGGTACTGGGCCAGGTAGATGAGCAGCTGCCTACCCAGTACCTCATTCCCATGCATGTTGCCCACAAATTTCATCTCTGGCTCCACTGAGGGCAGAGGATGAGGAGAATGAGGATCCATCCAAACATACTTCAAGTAAACAAAGGCTTCAAAATAACAGCCCACATACTGTGCATATAAAAGATTAAGAAGCATACGTGATAGTAGCAGAATTAAACTCACAAAAAACATTAAAATCCATCAAATTATGTCATTTTTTAAACGATAGGAAATTACATCACAAAATAAAAAGAAATTGAATTGTGCAACTACTAGAAATGTGAATAATTTTTTAAATGTGACTAGATCCATGGCGGGGGGGTGAAGATGCTACTGGAAAAAGTCACTCTATATTCCCCAAGAGTCTGTAGCTAACAGACTATAGTGTCCTTACTGATCTTATTGTGAGATATATTTACATTTTATGTCACTTTCATCCAAATCATCATATAGGTCAGGAGAGTGTGGGGTCAGGGAGGTGGATTCCCAAGCAGTCAGCATCTCCTGAGATACTCAGGTTAGGGGCCCTTCACAGGGGCTCAACATGGACATCGTTACTCTGCCAGCCATGGGATTCAAACCCATGGGAATGTACTGAGCAACATGCTGCCTGGTTTACCTGTTTAAAGGCAGTCTGGTACCTGATTAAAGGAGGTCTGGTACCTGTTTAAAGGCAGTCTGGTACCTGATTAAAGGAGGTCTGGTACCTGTTTAAAGGCAGTCTGGTACCTGATTAAAGGTA